GGGGGGGGGAGGCGCCACGCGGTGCGGTCCGCGGCCCGGGCGTCACTGCCCAAAGTACCAGGGGGGCCTGCAGTCGATGGGCTCTTCCTTCCAGATGGTCTTCAGCCTCTCAGCCCAGGAGGCCACCATCCCCCTTCTTTCTTCTTCCGACGCAAATTCGGGAGCAAAACTGATCTGAGGGGCGAGGACTTTAAATCCACAGAAGTGCAGTGTGCCGTGCTGCAGCCACAAGGGAGGAGAGCTGGTCAGAGGTCCGCCCGCACGCATGCTCGTTCAGCCATCAAAGGGGAGGCAGAGGGGGACAGACCCCTGCCCTGGGGCCTCAGGGCGCGGCCCCCTGCCACGCCCCAGCTCCCCGCCAGCAGGTTCCAGTTCTACCCTGAAAACCGAGATCACTCTGTAATCTCTGCTGCCGAGTCAGACACCAAGTTCACGGTTCTGGCTGATTAGGCAAATTACGGCACACCATGCGACGGAACATTCTAGAGGGAGGTTTTTCTAGCTATGACCACAGAAGGCTGATCAGGGTATCTGTTAAAGGTAAAAAGTGGGAAAGCTGAAGCAGTGTTTGTGGGGCACCATTTACGTAAAAAAAAAAATGCGACAAGCCAAACAATGAAAAGTACATACTGAAGAGCCACCGTGGCTGTGAAGAAGCCCCCGGAGACTGACGGTGGCTGTCGCCAAGGCGGATTAAGAGGACTCAGTTTGTTTTCATATTTTACAGTCTCACTTTTTTCTAATATGTACTTCGGCAAACCAAAAAAAAAAAAAAAAGGTGAAGATTTTTAAAAAGCAAGACTGAAGACAGCTGAGAGACGCCGGCCCGTGGGGAGGGAGCCCGTGCTGGAAGTGGCCGTCCTCCACAGCTGGGCTGTCAGTTGATGGAATCGCTAACCCATCTCCTTTCAAAGAAGACACTTTTTTCTAGAAATATCACTGTCCTTCCCTTAAACCCACACCCCTGTCCAGGCCTCCCCATCAGGGTGGGTGGGCAGGTGGAACCCAACCCACTGCATTTTTAAAGCCCATTTTAAAGGCGACAAGGACCTCCTCCCCGCTGGAAGCACGTCCCTCTCGACAACCTGGATGAGCGGTCCCCAGGCAGGTTTCCGGGTCTGCCGGGACTTCGGGACTGGACATGGCGGCCCAGCTGGGGCTGTTCACTTTGCTGGCCCAGCGCCCGCCGCTTCCCTCTGCAGACAGCAGACCTCGGCACCACCCCACCCCGCCACCCCGCCACCCCAGGCCATGGGCTGAGTCCTGGGCCCCTTGAGCCACGGGTGGGCTCTGGGGATGGGGTGGGCGTGAGTCTGTGCAGATGTGACCTGGGGTGCCTCTGGCTAGGGTTTGGGGGCAAGGTTGCCTTCAGGCAGCAGAGCCAGGGTGTGGGCGGCTCTACGCCCCCAGCTCTCGACACCTAGCGCCACCTGGGGGCTTCTGTCTACCCAGGCAGGGGCCAGCCAGCCAGGTGGGCGTGGCCTCCGTCCATATGAGATCAAAGCTGTCGTTGTAACGTGTGTCCTCATCCGGCAGCATTTCAGTGCTGCTCAGTAAAGCATCGAGGAGGCGAGAGGGTACCATTTCCTCTATCTGGACGGGGCACGTCAAAATGGCCCGGCTTTCAGGCCTAAGTCACATCTCACTTTATACCTTGGGGAGGGTGGGGCCAAGGGGCTGGGGTACCTGGAGGGGCCACAGGAAGTATCGGAAGTCTCCGCTGACTCCAGTTTTCGAGTACATCTCAGCCGTGCCGCCCGTGGTCAAGGAGAGGATGGCCGATTTACCCTGCAGGGGGGAAGGCGTGCACTGAAGGGACCCCAGCCAAGCAGAGGGACAGAGGCGACAGACGCAACCCCAGCATGAAGGGTTGTGACGACCAGGAGGGAAAACCCGGGGATGGACACACTCCCATCCTGTCAAGCCCATGGTGACAGCTACATCCAACAGGAAGAGGGCAGGCAACAGGCAGAGGGAACGGCCCCAGCGCAGGCGGAGATGGGCAGCTTCAGGGCAGCGGGTGAGGAGTGGGCAGGGCCAGGCCTCGGTTACACCTGGGGGTGAGGGTGGGGGGTGGCTGGGGGGGGTGAGGGGTGCTGCTGGAGCGCCCAGCTCCGGGACCACCCAGCAGAGGGCAGCATCTCTTCTGGGTCCAAAACTCAGAGTTTCTCCATACACATTTATTTTCTGAGGCTTTTAGAATTTAAAACATCATTTGTTTTAGCGGGAACTCCACAGCTGCCTTGACCTGTGTGTCTGCCAGGTTCCTGGCGATCCCCACCCTGAACGCGGGCGTTGCGTTATCCTGTTTTCTTGGGGGAGGAGGTAATTAGGTTTATTTATTTATTTTTGATGGAGGTGCTGGGGATTGAACCCAGGACCTCATGCATGCTAAGCATGCGTTCTACCACTGAGCTATACCCTCCTCCCACGTTATCCTGTTTTCAAGGTGGGTACACGATGCTCAGAGGTGAGCCTGTGCACGGCCAGGTGAGGGACCGCGTTGTGCAACAGGTGCCCCCGGAGCCGGCAACCCCGTGTGGCCACACCCTCCGCCCCCAGCCCGCCCTGTGCCCTGGCCTCAAGCACGACGCTTGGGGCTCTCTGGACCCCTGCTGCAGGAAAAGCCCGTGACCTCAGGAACAAAGCAGCACACAGGCTGTGCACACAGCTGAGGCCCAGTCAACGTTTGCTCGGACAAAAAGCAAATGAGAAAGGACTTGCTGAGACGCCCCTTCCCTCCCCACGCACACTGGCCCTCCGGGCGCCTACCTTGAGGAAGCCGTCGTCGTAGAAGCCGGGCAGGTCGAAGGCAAAGCCCTGGCACAGCACCCTGTCCATCCAGCCCTTCAGGACGGCGGGCACGCTGAACCAGTACAGCGGGAACTGCGGGCACGGCACGGAGGGGCTTCTGCTCTAGTCTGTCCACCCGGGGATTCGGGCAGCCTCCCCTCCCCCCTTATCACGCCCTCCCCCTCCCCTCCCTCCCACCCCGGACCCCGGACCCCGGGACCCCGGGGACCCCGGGACCCCGGGGAACCCC